ATTATAATTTTGTAAATTTCAAATATTCAAAATTTTGTTTGTTTTTTAAATATTTAAAAAATTTTTAGAAATATTTTTTCTTGAATACCATTTTGATTAAATTGTAATTGTATCATGTGACCTGTGCGGAAGGTGTTTCCATATGGAAAAGAACATGAAAAGGTTTATAAAAAAATTGCTCGCTTTTTAATAAAATCCGCTTTTGAAATTCGCCGAGCGTTCTCATTGTTCGAACTGCCGTTAGAACGTTTTTAAACTCAATTTTGTCGAAAATGAGGCATAAAATAAAAAAACCTTACTCCGCTTTTTTTTTATATGTTCTCGTTTGCAAAATAACCGCCCGTCAGTTATATTGCTTCTATTTAGTCAAGAATTCGTTGACGACACTGTATGTAATATATTTTCAACTTATTTTTTTTGTAATCAAAATTACACTTTTCCCAAATTAATCGCAAACGTGTATTAACACGTTCGTTGCCGCGTGTTGCATACTTGTGACGTTAACCGAAAGCACGCGCCGCAATGAAAAACAAAAAAAATTTTATTACTACCTTTATTTAAAATTATAATTAGCCCGCAAGAATGTTTGCGTTCTTTTCGTGTTCGAGCGTATAAAAAACAATGAAACCTAATAATCAGCAAAGGTTAGTAGAGTTTTTAAATAAAAGCTATATCCAAATGCCTTCAACTTTTAATAAAACGAGTATTATTAAACAAGTATTTGAAAAACACTGAAACATGACACCATGTTTATTTACGTTACTCTACTCGATAAATTCTCATGATTCTCGCTAGTAGACAGAGTTGGGCAAATTCAATGAAATTTGATACGTACATTATTAAATTAAGATGTCTCAGAGAATATTCACAGACAATTGACCATCATTCATTGAACTTATAATTTAATAAATCATTATCTGAGACACCTTAAGGAATCTAACAAATAATAACATCGTTTCCCAAAGAAACATAAGATTTCCACTTACAAACGATACTTCCCGAATGTCGGTTAATTCACTGGAATACAAATAAAAATGGAATGCTCGTATGCTATGTTTTTATTCGTCAAACATTATTCGGCCAAAAATTGTGCCCATCTCTGCGAGTAGAAACAATTTCCCCCAGCGACAAGCAACGACGAACAATCGGCGAAGGCAAGTGTGGTAACATTTGTTCGGATTGGAACGATCGGTTTCAACCCACCGGCGAATGGTAATATTTCGTTCCCTCGATTCGCTCTTATTTTCGGGGGCCGTTTCCCAACCGTAGGTAAAAGTATGAAACAGTTTTGTTTCCCTCGAACACGTTAGATTGTTCAAGCATGCTAGTGTCATTCCCTAGCGCCCTAAATTCACCCCCAACTCTTTTTCTCTCATCCAACCCCGTCCGATTTTGTTACGTTCCGGAAGACACGATCTCAGTGTGTTAGACGACAATTAGCTGATTACATATGTACTTATTTACTTACTTAGGTGTTTTGAGAGTTTTGCCACATTTACGTTTAAACTAACGTCTACTACATGTTTGCTTGGATTGGAAACTTATTATACTATTTAGTGCGATGACTTGCCTGTGAATGTTATAATTATGCGCTCCGATGATTGATCCGCGGTGAAAAGCAAACGCCTGGGTCGTGCGGCCGAAAAACAGATCGCGGGTCATCATCCGATTGCATTCGCACGACATTGACGTTGGACGGTCGCGAATACGTGAAAATTGTTATTAGTTTTTTGCTCGGCTTCCACTGGTCGCGGTACATTTATAATTAATTAGGTTTCGCGGAACTTGTTTGTGTTTTTTTTATTGTTTTTAATGAGAATTTCTGCGGAGAACGTGAAACTGTCAGATTGATCGAACGCTCGATCGAATTTATAGGACATGATGATTGTTCAAATAAATAGAGCTTATGAAACGGACAAAAAGAAACTCAAGAAATGATAAAAGTTTCCACTAGTATAGTAGTATTTGCATTTCTGGTTGTTACCTAAACTAGAATGTCACCTTTACTGTATTTTCATTGGATTTTTTTCTTTCTTCGTTGGTGGACAACAGATTTTGTACGATATTTCTTAAACGAGCCTATATTTGATATTAAGATTCTTTACGAAAAGAATGATACTATTTATTTATGTAAATGTTCATTTTAGAAATGGCACACAAATGTAGATTAACTTCAGTGATATAAATGATTAATCACAATGAAATCGATTCCTGTGCATAAATAGATTCTAACTGCGTTGAAATTAGCTAGAATGAATAAATGAAATCTGATTACGTTGAGAACATTACGTTTTAAAGAAATATCTCAGCGTGTTTATAATTTACATTCAAATCTGTTGCGCAATTTAAATTGATTTTAATCACATATGTTTCGATTGCAACTACCGTTAAAATTGTCTTGTTAGTCACAACATTTGCTAGGAGGAAATTTACTGCACAGTTCATGTTCAGTGAGGACAAAGTGGAGTTAGAAATTATCGTTTGGTATCTACCGTGTAGCGTGAAATAGTTAATAGTACCGTTGCTATCTATGTGTAAACTCTAAACGCTAATTGATTAAATAGGAATTAGTATTAATATAGACGAATATATGACAGCATAGTAATTGTCCAATATATAAATTAAGATAAACAGAATATAATGGAGTATCTATTGCGCAATTTAACCGAGTAAACACACTCACCAACTTTGATGAACTCAATCCTTCAGAGATCAATATAAAAAAGAAATTAGAACTTCGAAAATTCTTAGAAACATGTTCTCCTCTTCAAAAGTAATTAATTTCCGTTTGAAAACCAGAAGGTGACTACAGTATCTTGATCTCAAAAACAATAGCAGCTATAGAACAGCATCCTAATGACGCATGTACCTAACTAACAAGTAACAAAGAGGATCCATCTAAATTCGCTTGAGCAACCAAAGATCCAACCGAAGCGTCGCGAAGAAAAACCGCGCTCCGAAACGAAAGTAACTCGAACACTCCGTCCGTCCAACTCGCGCGTTTGCTTACCACCGAAAAGGCAACAACCCCTTACATCATACCTTCCATCGAACAGAATCCCCCAGCCCCAAGTGAAAAGTTAAATTCAGCTTAGAAAGAAAGAACATCGGGCGCGTGACGTTCATCGACACTAACCCAAAAGCCAATTTGCTTTGCAAGCGGCGTGCTGCAATTCATAGCTCGCTAAACCAAATAATCAAACAAAAAAGGAACAATCCAAAAAAAAAGTAAAGAAAATTCCGATAAAAGAAAGAAAAATCCACACACGCACACACACTTTTGCCTTGACCGATCGTGGCGTTGCTTGTTGCAGCGAGGCGTGGGGGCGACGAGGAAGCTGCGAGCGGTGTCGGCGCCGGAAGCGAGGCGCACATCACCCCTGGAGACGAGGACGAAGAGGATCACGAGGACCCCCGCATCATCGATGAGAAGATACCGCAGGGCGGCCAAGAGAATCCGATACACGCGAGCAACGAATACGTGAACGGCTGCACGGACCTCAAGGAGCAGAAGAAGGACGAGAAGACGGACACGCCCGTTTAAACGGCGCCTGTTTGTCCATCGCGCGCGCGACGGTCGGCCCTTCTTCAAACCGCGGAAATAAGCTGTCACCATCGCCACCCTGTTCGCTCGGTTCTACGACCCCTTTGCGCTCTTCCTTTTCTTACCAACCCCGAGAAACATCTTGCTCGATGCGTTTCTTCAAGGTCACCGGATGACGAGCCGAACGATCCCCGAGCCACTGCTAGGAGATCACTTGATGGTTAGGATGACAAACTCGGCTGATCGATCACTTTTCGTTTTTCTCACCCGATTTTCTAATACTTTTGTATTCTGATTCCTGATATTTTCGATCACTAATTTACTATTCAATCACACGCAACCAATCAAAACTATAAAACTGTAAACTGGAAGGACACCTCTTCTACATGTCCTCTTCCGCTAGACATTGAGTCATCTCCTAACTGTACGTTTTCGCGTGGGATTTAGCACATTGCAGTTTTGCAGTTTATATATATATATATATATATATATATATATATATATATATATATATATATATATATAGTAGGACTCCTTGTAACCGCGATTAAAAAGTTACTGGAAAATAACGTACAATGATAACATACGAGCAGAGGAAAAGATTGGAATAGTTGCTAAAAGGATGTCGGTGGAAGTTAGGGAAATTTGAAATTTCTATGATTGAGACATTTTTTGATTGTGATTTATGGGGTACTACTGTATTCATTGTTTTCCGACGAATTGTCGATGATATTTGCTATTGAAAGAAAATCTTGTAATGCATCAGAAGACAGGTTTATTTTATTTCTTTGTTTCGTAATAGTTTTAACGAATTTTCAATTTTATAATTTTGCTATTCATCCTCGAAGGATTAACACTTTAGAAAACAAAAATGTATTGCACTATTGGAAAAATATTTTACCTTAGGACATTCGAAAGTGTCTTCTTTGAAGTTTGATGGTTCAAAGAGTAGGACTCCCGAGTTGACACGTAAAGTGTATTGTAATTGTTTATTTATTTATGGTTACTTAGTAGTCGCTGATACGATATCAGTGTAATCGATCAGGTTAGACTGTAACGAGAAGAGAGCAGCTAGGAAGGGTTTTCTTTTATTATCTCTTTATTTTATATTTTAACTGTAAAATTAGTATTCTTAATATTTATTTCAGCGTGTGAGGCATTGAGATTAAGAAACTAGGTTTTTACGTTGAGCGTGCCTAATTATTACTGCGAAGAAGTTTGACAATTTCTTCAAAAACATAGATTATATATTATAAAATGACAAATAAAACTCGTGGACAACTTGAAACATTCCTTCTATAAAATTAAATTATCGCATTCATAATGTTAAATATTTTCTACCTTGTAATAACGTAACGCAAATTATCGATTTTATTGTACCATTCACACGTCCATTACCCGTTACAATTACCATGCACGAGCAATTAAAATAGCTTCACATCAATCTTCTCCGCAAGAAAGCCTCATCATGAGTAGTCAAACCTTTTTGCAGTCACCGTGAAAAACTTATTACACGTTTAATGACCATTCCGGGGAACGTAGTTACCATAAATTGGTGTCAGTGCCATTCTGTCCCAGTGTAAAACTTAATTGTCATCGATCTTTGTGCACTGACAAACATCCGATTCACCTTTGGAAGAAACACAAGCATCGAGTCATATCAATCTCCGCCAGCTATTTTCGATGAACATTCGACCGACGGACTTTGTTCGTCGAGGAAATAGTCTGACGTGCAATTTCTCGTGATCCGTCGACCGGTCGAGATTATTCTCAATCAACGAGAAGCGCAAAGGGTTCCGGGAAACCGATCGTCGCCGAGGATTATAAGTCCTCGCACGCTCACGTGATCCTCCCCCGCCTCGAATCTCAATAGTTTAAGAAGGACGAGTCCCGTAATTATCCCCGTATTAATTTATTATTAACAAGACGACTATACGAGTGTCCAGTATTCGATTCACAGATCCGCGTAGCAAAGCGAACGACATAGAAATTCGATCGAAGAGGACAAAATGGGAACGAAATAGAAATTTTCGTTAAGGTCCGATGATTGACCCTCGTACGCGACCCTTTATTTTTCTACGATTCTTCGTCCCTTCGATGCACTATCAATTCTCCCGGGCGATCCACGATCGAGAACCCACAATCGACGTGTCCCCCAACGCCCTCGATCCCACCGCGACCATTCGCGTTCTCCATGTTCGTCACGGTGTAAGTTTTGTAAATAGGAACAGAGAACACAAAGCGGCGGCGCTATCTTCTTCACGCGCGAAGATCACGCCGGGGAAATTCGCTTGGATCAAGATACGATACAACACTTGAACACACTCTACTGTAACGTCGTACGGTCGTTGATTCTTGATTCTTTGAGGAATGTCAGCTGATGCATCAAATTTGCGATGAGTTGCTTGTTACAGTGGAACCCTTTGCTTCTCTGAATTGACCGTTCTGCCAATGGGTTTATTGGCAACTATTCATTATTATCGTTACAGCTGGATTTATTAAGAAGTTTATGCAAGTTAATTACAGAAGAGATATAACCCATAAATAAGGGTTTTGATTTATTCTGTTTGTAAAGTGGAACAATCGTGATGGAAAGCTAACGAAAGTTCTGCTCCTCGAAGTTCCAGGGAACAGAAATTATTAACTCCTCACTTTATAATATTGTTATTGGTATTTTACTGAATGGTATTTTAACCTGCAACCTCGTTTCATTATGAGAAAATATTAATGATGTAACAGCTGTTGATAATCATAAAACTTAATTCTAACTTAAAACTGTACTTCGAACAGTAAAGGTTCCACTGTATCAAAATCGAATAGCAAGATTGTTTCCCGTAAAATTCACTGCAAATTGCAGTCGTTATCAGGTGAACCTCGAAGGATCAAGGATCTAGAGACTGCTAAAGTATATCGTTTAAGAAGCAAGTGTTCATGAACTGTCCTCAAAATGTACCGTTCTACGCTAGAAAAAGGAATAGCCGGTTCTTCAGCGAACACTTTCGTACGAGCTCTGCGACTTTCTTCTCTGCGCAATCAAATGAAAATCGAGTCTCAGAACATCGGACCCTGTTCCCCTTTGGTACTAAGCCAAATGCACGCGAAAGGTTCGCGGGAAAATGTCGCGGCCGCGCGTGTTTTGTACAAATAAATACTTAAAGTTTTCTTATCCTTCGTTTTTCCGAGACAGAAAAACTTTGTTTCTCTGTTACTCCGAAACAATCGGCGCTGCGACATTTTCGTGTGTATCCGACCTTAGGGAATCAGGAGTTCGACTCGAATTCTGGATACCGAGGCGACGATCACCGCTTCAACCCTACAGTAAACGCCTCCATCTTGGACGCGCAGCTCGTAGCAGCTATTAACGAGATTTAATTAAGCGAACGATGACGGGAGGACGATCGAGGTTCTCACCACGACATGAAATACTCACGTCAGCATAAACAAATCAAATTTTGTAGTCGAGGTTTCTCTAAAAGACACTTCAATGTCGGCGGTTGGGGAGGGGGGAACGAAACAAACTATCATTGACCGCGTTTGCACGTTAAGTTCCATCTCTCCGTGGCTTTTGAATACTTTCAAGGTTTCCTTAACCGTTGACAATTCGTATCAAAATGAAAATTTCAGCGTTTAAATTTCATTCACTCATGTAAATTTGAATTAAATTTGGATTAAAGCATTGACGCGTAAGATTGTGCTTTTAGTAACTGTAGTTTATTGTCTTGAATCAAAAAATTACGCATATTAGTAATGAAAGATTGATTTTCATCGTTGAACAATCAGGTATACAGGATTATTTTATTCGAGAGCCTTTCCAGTGGTGGTCGACGGAAAAGAATTATTGCCGCGGAGAGGAAAAAGTGCTTCACATGCAGATGCAAGGAAAACACCATTAATATCGCGCCGTCACAACGTTCAAAGACAAACGAACACATTCCACGATGTAGCTTTCATTCATAGCCAGGCCTTTTCCCCTCTTTTCCTTTTCTTGTCATCGAAGCGCGCGTGCTGACTGACGTGTGATCGTATCGCCTTTTGTAATTTAGAAGGTTTCTCGGACAGTATTATTTAGATCGGAGTATAAGGCCGTGCCGTTTCCCGTTTCCGATTCTAGGGTGGCTGGTACCGCGACACCGTCATGACACTTTCCCCGTCAATCGCGGTGTTATCGACGAATCGAACGAAAACTATCCAACGATGATGTTCCCTCATCTCGAACGATTTACGATTAAAACAATCCACGGAAGTCTACGGAAATTTCGAACGGAATCTCACGATCGTCAACCCTTCGGATTACGTTCGTCTTCGAATCATTCGTGTTGTTGCCGCAGTGTTTTTAACGAGATTTTAAATGTCGTTTTTTAAACGATTTTATTCGCAAACGAAACTTCGATTTTAAACGAGTTTTTAAAGAGATTTCTATTGCCGCAGGCAAGCTACGGATGCGTGTGATAATTTCGAATGTGTCGTGCAACGATGCAATAACTTTAGATAAAGAGAGTCGAATATAGAGTAGAAAGCATAGCATGTTTACTTGAGACCTCTTTCTCTTGAAAGTGGAATTAAACATTCATACTCATTGCACATGATAACATTATGCATTTCTTCTTGGAGTCTCGTTTCACCATCTTCCATATCGTTGAAAAATCTATCTTTTAGGAATATACAAATGGAACATCTTGCATGGAAACAATGGTTGTTCCTTCTGTTTTATGAGATGTTTATTATAAAATATATTAAAAGAATTGAGTATAAGGTAAACAGTATTCAAGGGACTAATTTCGAACCGAAGGGTTAACGTAACACGTAAAGCGACAGTTTCGAAACCGTAACACATTTAACAATCACAGACTTTCCATTCAGCATTTAATTGTAAGCCGCGATCGTTATGATTCACTTTAGTCAGAGACTCATCCATCCGCCGCGCACCTATTTTATATCTTCGAGTTAAGACGAAGACTGGAAACATTCCACGGATACCAAGACTTTTTACCAAGAACAGTTTTATAGATCGAATTTACAAATTTACCGAGTATTACGACCAATACTATCCTCGCTACTCGACTGCGCGTACTATGTATTTAATGTTTTATCTTCGCGTGGTTAGAGTAACGAAATTCTTCGCTGTGGAAATTCTTTAGGCAGCTAGCTTCAATCTTCATTCTTAATTGGTCTCCTTGTGTCAAATCAATGCGACAATAAAAAAGATCAACATAATCAAAAAATGAATAGTCAAATTTTCAGATTTGAAATTTAAAAATTTCTGATATTAAATTTATAACATTTATTTTAAGTAAAGTCGTTCTTATAATCGGTGTTTCGATAGAGATTGTAAATCAAGCGTTTAAAATGGACAAACTAAAAATTTTACCACAGAAAATGAAGTATTGAAAAATTCTCTTTTCAACGAAATATTATTTAAATTTCTAAATTCGCAGTGAATAAATGATAAATCGATGCACAAGGGCTGGCTGCTCTTTCGCGTTTATCGGCACGTGTTGAATTGACACGGGGTGACGCATGGAGGTTGATATCGATAGGTTCGTTCGCCCCGAGGCCAAGTCTGACATTTTCCCTTTCGTTCGCGACGGAAATAGTATTCGCAAAGTATTCTCGCTTCATTGACCTTTTAACCCCTTGGCTTATAATATCGCGTCAGACTCGTGGTGAAGATTTCAAACACCATTTAACAAACATATGTTATCCGATTTTTTGAATTTAAATTAAATATTATTTTCCTGTTATTAATCACTCTATCTTAGAACAAACATGAACATAGAATATACCTAAAATTTTTCTCATTTTTTTCAATAAATTATTACGCGTTTGAGTGTTAGGGGTCTCTGCAAAAACCTAGTCGTTTCAGTTTAAAAACTGAATTACGCTTTTCTATTTTTACATAGAAAATTTCGAAATAATACGATCGTTATATGTCTCCATTGATAGGCAGATAATAACAAGAATCAGAATAACTAATTAGAAGGAGAACAAATAAATAAATTTACTTTGATTTTACGAACCGATAGGCGGGCACTTTTAGAACGGAGAAGCGTGATCGCGTCGCTTGTCACTCAAACGGTTAATGACAAGATTACAGCGATCAAAGTATAGAAAGAAACCATAGGGCAAGGGGTTAAAAGGATTATAAAGGGACGCGTTGCGTTTTCCGCTATGCCGTCCTTTCTACTGTTTCTCGAGCGCCATTTCGATCGATACATTTTACTTTTCCCTTCGTTCGATGCACGAGAGGACAGATTTAACAGGCCGGATGATTTGATCGTTTCGCGACTCGCAGACCCGAAGAAATACCTTGGGGAACGTTATCGTGTCGGCGACAGCCTGATGTACGGATCGGAATGAATATTCATTTATCGATCGCACTGGAACACCCAAGCGGGATTAAAATAGCTGAACTTGATGATAAAGATCTTTCGTAATTCCTTCTGATGCGTGAAAGATATATTCGGATACTTCACACGGGTACGGATTAAATCCATGTTACAGGCGATAAGATTATCGATATTTTTTGCGCAAGAATAGGTCGAAAGCTTGATATAATTCGATTTATAATTCATTTATTAAACACCACGATATTTGATTATTTTCCAGTTTTTATTATATCTCCTAAGTCTACTTCGGCAAATTGATTTTGATACATTGACTAATGTACTTTGCAACGATTATTAAGAAATTTCATTATGTTTAATAGTTTTCGACTGGGACTCGTTGCCAAAAAATTTCTCTTAGTTTCATTATACACTAAAAATTTAGAAGTCTTTTTAGCATTATTCGATAATGTGATCGTGCTCGCCAGAGTCGACACGCGTTTCATATAATAAATTCATATAGATGTAATTTCTTTTCCTATTTCACCTGATTCTTACACAAAAAAATGTTGCGAATCTTGTGCTGCATCCGAATTTCACGGAATTCATCGGTAATGAGCGATCAACGAAACTTTCTCGCTAAATAAGGAATGAAGGAAAAGAGGAATCATTAAACGGAACGAAACCAATGAGTCCAGCGCCGCGACCGGAATACTCTCAAGAAGTGACTTTCGTAATTTCATTGTCATTCCCGTTGACAATAAGTGTTGTTTGTAATTTTGTACGGGCGATCTTTGCTTAACTCAGTCCTCGCGAAACCAAACGTAAACGGAAGAGACGAGAAGACAGCGAAATTCGCGTGCACACACGTACACGGACAAATACACACACCTACAAGCGAACGAACACGAACACTCTCACACACGTCGGACAAAGAAAAAAGTAAGTTCACGAACGTAGGTCTCCACGGTGTCGTACGGAAGGATAATTGAATCTTGTAAGAATTGTTTTTTTTCGGGGGATAAAATAGAGAAAAGGAGGGAGAAAGAAAGAGAGAAAGAGAGTGAGTGGACGGGGAGAGGACAGAAGATCAATGATCGATCCCCGTGTCTGTCATTCGTTGACGAAATATTTCCGAATTCTGCACATACACTCCTTCACTTTTTCCATATGCGATCGTGTTTTCACTTATAAAGAGGGATCGTCCTATCCGACGAGTTCTGCGTGTTCTCTATGCACGCGGGTGGAAATAATTCGTGCCGCTCGGGCTGTGATACGGTCGGCACAAAAACGGCACGAATTATTTAGGCAACTCGCGTGTCTCACTACCCCATTCGTATTAACGGAAGAGAAAGCATCGAGAGATTGAAAATCAATTAAGTTTCGTCGAACGGAGCTCGTCGGGCACAGACGATCGGAATTAACTGCGTGTTGTATATATTAAATATATATATATATGAAAATAAATATTATGGTACGAGATTGAATAATAGTAATTGAATATATTATATTCTGTGTCGGGGGCACTTGGCTTGCAAAACTCGTAAATATTAACTG